GTTATTCCGCTGTTTATCTCTGGTCTGTGTGCAGGAGGACTCTGTCTCTTCCTCCCCTGTGTCTCATGCATGTATGGGCATGTGTGAGTTCTTCTATGTGTGAGTGGCAATCAAATTGTCGAACAACCAAGTTCATAACAGTTGGTATCGGAGCAGAGGTTGGACTTGGAGTCCAGAGGGTTGAGCGCAACAGGGGCATCTCCTCTTTCTGGCCCTGACTGGCGAGAAGTGCCATGGTGGTTCTTCTTCAGTAAAGATCCAGTGGAAGAGAAGACAAACAAGCGGTGATTGCAGGGCATCAGTTTGCGATTGACCAGGCACCCTGTGCCTGTATGTGTGCCTGACAGGAAGTGGCGAGAATAGGGTTATTTCGCCATCCACCCTCCTGACTTCAGTTGATGACTGGGTCTAGGGTGGCGAGATTTACCCTAATCCAGTGATTACTGGGTGGCGGCTTCAATCCCAGTGTAGCGCTGAGGGAGGATTGATCGTAAGATCCCCTCCTGCTAAATTAACCCTACCCAGGGCTAAATTTAGCACCAGCGGCTTATACGTGCAGTGGCGAGAAATCTTCAGGAGAGTTTTCTCTCGCCACTGAGCCAGATTCAGTGAATCTGAGGGTGTGGAGTGAATCGCCACATCATACTGGAGCAGATCAACAAGTTTCAGGAGATTCTATGCGTGGGAAGCTCTGGAAGACTGTCTGCAAGGGCTGGCAAGACCAGGGTTTGGCAGCCATAGCCAAAGGTTCATCACCCACTGAGTGAAACACTTCAAGTGAGTTTGTTCCATATGAATCCCGGAGTAGCGATTAGATCAGCCTCAGTAGAAGTAGGACTGGTGGTCTGTCTGTCAGTAGTGTAACAATTGCGAAATTGTCAGACTGCAAGACAACCATATCCATCTTCTTCCTCCCTACCCTGACTCATATCTATTCATCTATTGACCTGTTCTGACTCAAAATTGTTATGGGACTGCCTGACAGTATTGCGCTGCATCCTGTATGTTCATTCTGTGAATTCTGTCCTGAAAAGGTAGTGATACTGTGGGTTTGAGTTTTGCGCTAGGCTATCTAGGGTTAGTCGCAACTCAAAATCTGTCCGTCAGAATTCAAGTCTGTGAGTCTGGGGTGAATCGCAATTCTATTTTTAGCATCTGTGCTAAAGCGCTAGTCCAGAAACATTGCAATTGGGTCATTACAGTGCAATCCTGAAATTCGCCATATCTGGGGTTATTTTTGTTGATGTCAACAGTGGCCAAATTTGAGTTTGGGTTGTCGGGGTGTAGTTTACTAAATCGCTATTACTTGTTACCCTGTTTCAGCTATTTCTTGCCTGTTCCCATCGATACTACTAATTTGCTCTGCGTTCTCATGGGCTCTGGAATGCTAGTGACCCCTGGAATGTTGTGAATGTGCATCTTGCAACTCCAGTGAAAGTGCAGTGTCCGGTATAGGGAATCACTAGTGAATGATTTTACTGGACACCTAGTCAACCTGATTACTGACTCCAGCGGTTCAATTCCAACCCTAACCGCCTATGCCCACTAACCCACATTGCTTTCTGAATTGACAGTGCAGCGAAATTTGAGTGTCTGTGAGATCTGTAAATCGCTGCACCTCCTGCTGTTTCATTTATTTGTTGTGTTGCTTTGAGAGGGAAAATGTCTGAAACCGCTGACCCTCAACTCCACCTCCCCCTCCTCTGACCCCTACGCAGCGGCGCAAGAAGGAGATCCAAGAGAAACTGCGAGAGCAACAGGCGCTGCTCGCAGAGGCAAAGAGACAAGAGGCTGCAGAGCTGGAAGCTGCAACAGATGCTTCCAGAAAAGAGCATCTGCTGCAGCAGGCTCGGAAGACTTTTGCGGATGCTAGAGTGGCCCAGTGTACCAGGGATCTGGCTGAGCTGGTACTTTTGCAAGACAAACTTACAACCAGCCACTTCACAAACTGGGATGAGAGGATCCAGCGCCTGGAGACTAGAGTGGCTGATCTGGGAACTCAGCAGTCTAAGATCCTGGATGCTATCCAGAATCTGACTGCTCAGTTAACAGTAGCCAACGTCATCAGTCCCCTGGTCCCTGTGGTCCCCTCTCTGAAGCCCAAGAAGCCTTCTCAGCCCCCTTCTCCACCTCCTTCTGCAC